AGATATGGCATGCATCCAATCCAGTTGTAAAGGCTGAAGGATAAAGTATTGCAGCTTAATCAATCCCGTCTGACGGATGCGCCCACGCATTCGAGTTCCATTCAGAACTTCCTGTGTATGAACGATGTCGCTACTTTCGGAAAAAGACGAGATACCAGTAATGGCTGCATCTTTTGAACAAGTAGAACAATAAGAGATGCTGCAACGAGAAAAATTTTCTCGACCGCCATTGCCATCATGGGCAGTAGAAGAGCCTCAAGAGCCTATGCTGACCCATTAGGAACCAGATCGCATAAAGGATTAAGGGCGAGTCCAGTCGTAGTAATGGTCAAAACTTGAATAGTTGTTCGAAATGTTGAATGTCTCACATTTCCATGTGTCTTCCACCGACCCAGCCACCCAAAAGAATTGAAAGGCCCCGTCTGACTTGAAAAGAACCGGATTCTCGAGAACCTTCTGTGAAATCAAGCGAATAGTCAGGAAGTGTGAGGTGACGAAAGGTATGTTCAAAGTTCCTTGGCACAGGTATGCACATAGGGTAGGCAAGGCATATTTTCTACAGAGGTGGAGGGGAGTTTTATAGGGCGAATGTCCTCGTTGGGAACCCTGATTGAAGAGGCATGTAACAAGTGCTAGGACAATGGAAGGATTTTATCAACATTTAAGTTTATTTGGAAATTCAGGTTGAAAATGAACTCAGAAAATTCAGGAGTTGGAGTACTCGGAGCTTTCGGATAGCCCCGGGAGCTTCCGAAAGTACTTGAAGCTTCCGAATAGTCCTACTGAGTAATCTAATCCTCCTAATTCATCTGATGGTTAGGAATGGCACTAACTCATTCGAAAGGACAACATCGACTCCTTCAATGCTTCACGTCCGCTTGCAGTACTCTGGAGTGAATGTGTGTGCAGGTGTTCCCGCAAATGACTTGAATGAGGAATCAAATGCCTTGGGTGAAAAAAAAACTGATCAACACTGAGGACATTCCGCTATTTGGAATGTGTTGATGAGACCTTTTACGATACCCCATCGCATTTGTGTGTTATGTCCCTCTTGACTGATTTCTGTAGGTTGCAGCAGCTCAGAATCAAGTTTAGACGACAGTTACACTAATGGATTCCGTTTTTCCAGAATCTGATGAGAGCGGTGACGCCGAAATGTCGGTCAAAGAAATAGCTGTTGTCAATCTAGGTTACCAGCTTGACTGGTTCAAGTACTGTGCTCAATCGAATTTCTTTTTCTATTTATTTATAGGGTTGGCGAGAATTTTACGTGGAAATTCGAAGCATTAAAAATTTGCATAACATGGTGGCAGGGTTGGCAAATTTCTGGGGCACTTCTCTACACCTGTTGGCTATACTAGCCTTGTCTGAGCGGATGTTCTGAGACCATGTCGATACTTCCAAACACGGGTGTACCACCATCCCTCTGGGATCAACATAACTGATAGAAGCCATCGTGACAGAATAACCAAAAATAAACGGTAGTTACTGAATAGTGTTGAGCAGTTCAGTTAGGAAATCCAGCCCGGTCACACGCTAGTGGTTTCAGCCTCAAGAGCCTCGAAATTACCAAGAACTCTCCTTTGTTCGGGTTTTTCCTGAAAACCGATTCGAACAATTCGGGCGACCAAATAAATCCTTCCATTTTCCATCAAATTCCAAGTCCTCTCATCTTTGAATTTTATTATTTAATTAATATTTCCACCTACAAACCTCGAGGCAGAAGCAAATACTAACGATTTCAAGCACAACCTTCCATTTTCGTTTTGGTGCTTCAGTTTGAAGGACCCACTCGGCCTTTACCTAAACCTAAACCTCAAGTTCCTCCAGGATCAAAGCTTTTGTCTTCTGAACAGCTACTTGTATAAGAAAAACGTAGTAGAGGTTGTACAGATTCATTTCCGGTAATAATCATGAGCAGTTGTACCGAGAATTTACGGTTGATAGCATTTTAACGGACGTAGACTCTTCTGCTGAAGCTGCTTCACATTTTTACATCGCCGTAGTTCCGCACCATTGGTTCAGACAAAAAATGGCAGCACATTAGGATTACGTCTGTACTTCACAACTGGCCTGTTACCTTTGGTAATAAATCTGAGCGTTACGGACAAAACACGGCCTTAACGTGCTGAAATACTTTGTTGTTGTACATGTGCACTTAGCATGAAGACGAACGAAAATGAAAAGATGGGAGCCACTAAAAAAGATCTCGTCTCTACGTGAGTAATGATGCGTAATGCATCCATAGGCCCGAAAATTCTCGGGCGGTTTTCTTGGGGGAGTTTTCCCACAATGAAAAGATGCTAGCTGACTCAGTTAGCGTATAAAGCTTGAGGACATTACCCCATCCGTCAGGAGGAAAAAATTCTGAGGTGTCCACTTGAAATGAGTTTTCAGGTTGTGAACACCATCAAGTCATCATCACCTTTATGACCTTTATGATAATTGAGTCGTTCAAACCTCATCGGTCATATCAGTATTTATCCCTGGTGCCTAAGCAACTTTACAACGCTTTATTCCTCAAGTTCCATTTGGTGCCTGTACGAGGGAGCGTTGAGAGAGAATCCCGCTTCTGGTACGACTCTTCTGCACTTCGATGATACAGTAAGCTGGCTGATATTCGGTTGTTGAAAAGCTCAAGGTCAGTACGATAGGTGGTGCTGCTGCTCGAGCCGGTGATGGAGACAATTCTTAGCCAGTTGTCTCGCATAGCAGCATGCCTCCACCGATGTCATCGTGCAATTGGTGGGCTAGGAGGATCGATGAAGTAGAAAGCGTATGTCATTAGAGAGTGTGAAGGCATGTGAATGGCATCTAATGTGAGCGAATTGTGGAAGTGGCTTGATGTAAAAATCAGCGCTGCTTACCATCGAGGAAATCCAGTTACAGTTTACAGTCATCGGATCTCGGAAGTCCAGAAACTCCTTGCAGACATTCTGATCCACGAGAAGGAGGACGGAACATGAATTGCCCCCATACACAGACCAAGATGGAGCTGTTCGCATGGAGTACATCGGTTTTCTTCTATTTGGAGGAGTAATCTGTACTTCGAAAGTTCGGAGTTAGGTCAGGGATTTTATCGCGCGCGGTAAATACCAAACGCGGAAGACAAGACTCCTAAGTGAACACTCGTCCTGAAGTGGGAGGGCGAACCACACCTCTAATCGCACATGCCCCCTCTTGCAAAAATACGACGACAGCTAACTGGACACAAATTTACCACGGGGACAACGGACTGTATGCAGAACATCCTGGACTGGGGAAGCGAAGAACACTCTATTGATGAAGTTTTAGTTGCCGCTAGCTTTCAAACGGCCTTTTCCGTTGCCATGTGATGTATAAGCGATGATGGAGCAGAATTTTGATGAGGCATTTTACACACTCAAGGGCAAACACCCTGGGCGATCCCGTAACGTATAGGGAAGAGCGACTTTTGTGAGAATGGCATGTGCCAGAAAGGAGGTTTCGTACCTCCACTACAACCCCCTGTTTGCCTAAGTCATCATCGTTCTGACGGATTCGTCTCCCACCCTGTACGGGGTCGCCACCCACAAGACCGCTCTTCTCTGAACTCTTCACAAGGTTGAGTTCTAGAGTTAAAATTTAAGTACACCGAGAGCTGCTGATCATCAATTATTTATGCGGAGTACTCTACAGTTTCGTGCTCCACTGCCACTACTCCCACACATGGCATCAACGAAAGAACCCCTCGACTTGATGCTCATTTCCCTCGCCCAGGGCATTCAGCATACGCTTCGGTAAATCCTTTGAGGTATGAGAATGGTTAGGACACGTGGCAAAAGCCGTACCCGTGGACGCGTGGACGCGATTTCACATTGAAGCAGCATTCCATGCACTGGATAACTCGTCCTGTTTCAGCATGAGCACTAACTGATTGGCTGATGGATTTCGTTAGCGATAAGGGTCGGGAACAAAGAGTCGTTTGGGAAACTGACTTTACATGAACTATTGAAGGAAATCAGCTGCTGTTTAAAAGTTGGACGATGTGGACGAATTGTTACTGAGCTGGGTGGTGCCGACAGGGTCCGGGAGGAGACGTGGGAGGATCAAATTAGTTGCAGAGCCAAGTAGATCCTCCACTTCTGCCCCGTATCGCAATCCATTCTGCCACTTTTAGATTTACCCATTTTCTTCGGAAGCACGAATCTCTCATACAACCCGTACCCTATACAACGGTGGGAAGCGCAACACTTAAATGGTAAATTCCCCCTCCCTCAAACCCGGCAATCAGTCTCAGGAAGTTTGTGAACAGCATAGGAGCTGAGAAGGAAGGACACACACCCTATGCCCACTTGTATGGAGAGCTCCATTAAAAAGCCGGAGACGTTCCTTTGAAGAATAGAGCTCCTTTGACGGCTGCTCCATCTGGTCACAACAACTTGCATACATATTTTTAAATCTTAAAAACCATCAAAAGCTCGCACACGAGCCGCAACGAATGTTGGCACAACGCCAATTTTTGAATTACACCGTACCTCCCTGAATATCATGCCATGACCACGCCCCTCCGCCTTTGAATTTCGAAGTGTTTTCTTGTTTATTATTTCTTCGGTCATTTTTTTGTTGTGCTAGTTGGTTACGAAGTTTTATGTAGTTGCAGGCATAGATTGTTAGTGGACTATTGTTGTTTGTTGCGTTTTGAAAAGAACTTTTCTCTCCAGGACCACCATTAGTCATATCCCAATCCAAATTGACAATATGTGCTCCTATTTTTAAGCGACTTTTCATTTATGAGATGCTTAGCATTTGCGTCAGAATCCCGTTCTAAGCAGCGCTTTTTCAACTTTTTTCTTTGTATCCTATATCTTCCCTTCATAACTTTTTAATTCCAAGACTAGTAAAAGTATGTTCTTCGTTCCGATGATTTGTTTTTTGTGTTTGTAAAAACTCTTCGGTAGTTTCATGAATATTTTTCCTTGTACTGTGTAGTTTCTTTTCGTTCCTTTCTTGAAATCTGAGCTTACATTTTCAGTTTTGGGATGGCACGCAAAGATAGCGAGAGCAGCTCGTCGAGTCCTGAATCTCGTGATCGGGAAGATGAAACTCTTTCTAGTGATGCGGTCGTCAACAAATATCAAATGGCCGCTCAGATGGTCAACGAAATCCTCAAGGTTATTCTTCAATGTCTCCTGTTCGAAACTTCAAACCTCTTTGGTGCTTGAGGCANTTCTCGAGAATTTTCACATTTTCACCTCGAAAGCCTTGTTTTCGTTAATGAAAAGATTCGCTAGTAGAACATCTTCTGGGAAATGCCATAGACTTTTACCGATTACATAGGAACATCTCGTTGATGAGTAGTGAGGTGAAGGGACGTTAGCAGAACTGATGTGACATGATTAACTGCAAGTAGTCCTCCAGCATTGTTGAACTGATTTGTAAAAAAAGCAAGCGATTGGAGATTGAATGGTCATTGTTGTAATAAAAACCATATCATCTGCAATGGAATGCTGATTGGCAATCTATAGTGAATGTTTGAGCGGCATCCATTATAGATTTTTTAATGTGAGCACTATAAAACAAAGTTTAGTTTACGTAAGAGGGGTTACCAAGTGGTTGTTAGAATTTTCTGCAAATCTTTCTGAATCGCGGGATCGCCAGTATTTGTGAATCCTCTGGGATTAACGAATGTCTCGATTTCTTTCATGTCTGAAGATTCGAGTTCCCTTCTATGCTCCGTCTACCCTAGTCTACCTTTACCGCAATTGTATGGGAAGTTGTAAAATGTTTTTCGATGCTTACATTAGCGTAAAATGCATGAAGAGCAATTTCGTTTCTTCTATTGTTTTCACTAGTTCACGGATGGACGCTGCCCTCCATGGGTGAGTAGGAAATTCAGTGTAGCGAATTCATTTTCAAATATGTTCTATCAAAAAGCAACTGTGCGACTTTCTGACTATTCTGTTACTTCAATGTTTTCAGAGGCTGATCTCAGAAGTGAAAGAAGGAGTAGAAGTTGGGAGTTTGTGCACATTAGGAGATAAACTCATTCTTGAAAAGACTTCAAAAGTTTTCGTCAAGGAGAAGGATGTGGCCAAGGTAGGTGGGCATCGCGCTCCGTTTGGTTCACATCTTATTTGTTATATCATTATATATCGTGCTGTTCAGGGTATCGCTATGCCTACTTGTATCTCCGTAGATCATTGTATTTGTCATTTTTCACCTCTTCGTTCTGATCCTCCTCTCTTACTGAAGAACGGCCAAATGGTCAAGGTAATTTTCTTGAACACGTTTTGTTTTTTTTCTACTCTTCTTGTTGCTGATGCAAAGGACGCTATCTCGAGTAATGTTTCTTGAAAGACTCAAAACTAGTGACTCAGTCTTTTTGAAACATCGTTTTGTTGTCAGATCGATCTGGGTGTCCATATCGATGGTTATATTGCCACTGCAGCAAACACTGTCGTTGTAGGAGCTAGTCCCGTAAGTAACATCTACTTTTCGGTTTTCGGTCTTTTATTTTCGTTTCTGAATGTTATGTTTGCCTTATAGACAAATAAAGTTACGGGTAAACATGCTGATTTGCTGAAAGCTACATATGAAGCTATGGAAGTGGCAATACGAATGCTGCAACCCGGAAACAAAACTATGGATATTACTGCCGCTATTGATAAGGTAATAAAGAGCTAAAGTTCAGTCCCTCTTAAATTCCTACTGTGATTCGTCTTTTTTGAAATCTTTTTTGCATCTAAACTGTTACTTTCTGTGACTGTTGTGGTCAAAACAGTTTTTAATTGATGATTTGAACAGTTTTAAACAAGAGAGGTGTCGCTTAGGGTAGGTTGAACAGTATGATAAGGGGAGATGATAGTGGGGAGCGGAAATGAGTCGGTGATATCGCAAGTTCGAGTTAACTTCGTAATTCTTTCTTGTTAGTCTAGTAGGTGATTCAGTCCTGACGCTCCAGGCTAGATTGATTGTCATTTGGAAACAAATGTGAACACAATCTCCAAAACACTGTCAGTTCTTTGGAAGTTCTTCTGCTAACGGAGGTTGTAAAGTTGTCCAGACTTCAAGACTGACAGAGATTTCATCATATTTTGCAGCGTTGCTTCATAACTGAGTGGGTTGCTGCGTGATTTGCAATCGATAGCGTTGTTTCTTCTCTTCAGCAACACGAAAACAATAACGACCCATAACAGGGTCAGAGTATTTTCGACGCCAAATCTAGTCCAACGTTATGTGTAGGGGAAAGTATCGTTCAGTCTTAGTAATGTAATAAGGGCGTTAGGACCCAAACGCTGTCCGGGGGTACTGACCTGTTCGAGGGATAGGACGGTGGTGCTGTTATAACGAAATAAAATCATCTGCATTGCTTTACATCGACGACTATGCTTTGTACTGGTGCTTTGAACTCCGTCACTGACCCCTCTCTAATTGTAGCTGCAAAAGGGCTTTCGGGAGACATTGCGAGAGATTTTTTCTAGCCTATCAGCAAAGTGATTTGGTACACTGTGCAAGTACAAGACATCTTTTTTTTTTGGGAGAGGCTTAACTTGTGTGCCTTTCGAATATTTTAACCTAGTGTACCTTAGAGAACTTCAGTGCTACAGTACGATTTCTAAAGATTCAAAACTTTTATCCATAACGTTTTTTTTTTNNTTTTTTTTTGAGATTTTTCGTAGTATCTTGTATATGCATAGTTATTTAATGTGCTCTACAAGCTTTTGATTGTGCTTTTACGAGCCGAAATTGTGTTTTTACAATCCGAAGCTGAATTCTACAGGTTGCTGCCGATTATGGTGTCATGCCCATTGAGAACATGGTATCGCATCAATTGCAAAGGGATCAAATTGATGGTGAAAAGCAGATTATACAAAATCCAGGTGAAAAACAACGTATGGAGATGGAGAAATTCACCATCGAGAAACATGAAGCATATGCCATTGATATTCTATTCTCAACTGGCAAAGGTAAGATATAACTACATTTCCTATTGACAGTGTCGGAATTGTAATTATTTCAGGTAAAGCTAAAGACATGGATACTCGTACAACTGTGTTCAAGAGAAATGAGGATATTCAATACTCGCTGAGGTTAAAGGCTGCGCGTGCGTTGATGAAGGAATGCAAGGATAGGGTGAGGCATCTGGTAGCTTTAGGGAGTCTGTGGCGCTAATTTGTTTTCTATANCATTCCATAAGTGGTCGGTTTTTTGTTGAATCAAGATTTCAGTTTGGAGTAATGCCGTTCACTTTGCGAGCTTTCGAAGATGAAGTCAAAGCTAAGATGGGTGTTGTCGAACCAGAAAAGCATGGACTCCTTCGCCCTTACCAGGTACTATTACAGTTAGACTAATGGCTGTGAGACCAAATCACTACCTTTTCATCTACTATGTATTTGTTGCGCTTATTTTCTTAATGCAGGTGGTTTATGAAAGTGCTGGAGAGGTCGTTGCCCAATTCAAAGCTACGGTTTTGATAATGTCCAATGGACTTCTGAAGATTGCGGGGCTCCCTCTCGATATGAATTTGATTGAGACTGATGCGAAGTTGAAGGTAGGCATTTCGACTTTTGATTTCATTGCGATGTTTTCTTTTCCTGGAAGGCGATTTTACGGTTCCTTCTTTTCATGCTACTTGCGAAAACATCATGTTGCACGAGGCTTTGATCAGATTTTCGTGATTAATTTCTGAGCAATACATTGTGCAATTTGTGTGAAGTAAGGATTGTCAGAGTAGTTTTCTTCAGTACACCAAATAAGGAAGGGTTTTGCTGTTAATCCAAGAGCGATATTATGAGTCTTACTGCATAGAGAGTCGCACATGGACAAGTCTTACTGCGATTCTTGGATCACTGATAGCGGTTAAAATGGGTATCACGTCATTTTGTCTTCTGAAATAATTCACCCAATAATGAAAGAAACATGTTTTGAGAAAGTCGCAGTAGCAAAATTGTGAAAACCGGGACATGGGTACATTCGCCTAACTCAGAGTGGACGCGGCAAAAAGCGCGACGCGCCTGTCATTGGGGCACAAATTTGAAGTAGAGCAGATGAGTAGCATCAGCTGGTCCTACTTATCCAATCTACTTGAAACCTGTGCCTCATTGGCGGGCGCCAGAGTCTTTCAAATCACCAAGAATTTCTCCGCGCAGTTTGCCGCAACCATCCAGAATTAGGCGGAAGTTCCGTCCTCTGGAAGCTGGGAGGAGGGGTGGGGGGNGGGGGGGGGGGGGGGGGGGGGGGGGGGGGGGTCATTGGAGGTTAAGCATTGATGGAATAAAGGTATTCTTGACTGCTGTTTTAACTTTTGGACGAGGGAGGGATGTGATAGGATTGTATCGTGTGAAGGTCGCTTGTACTGACGGAGCTATTCTGTGCGGCACCACGCCCCACTGTGTTGTAACAGCTTCCTCAAAAACCGAAGCCCGCTTTTAGCTCTCGAGCAAAAAGGGTGTGCACACAAGGGATGGGCGAAAAGGAGGAGCGCTAATCAGAGTTCATCAGCAGTCTCGTGGTGATTTTGCCACGTATTTCTTTGCATTTGGGTTTTTTCGACATCATATGTTATGAGGAAGTTATGAGCGATCTCACCATGAATTCTTCTAGGATCCTGAACTAATCGCCACACTAAACTCGCAACTGAAGAAGAAAAAGAAGAAACCAACAAAAAAGGATGCTCCCGCTGCTGTTAACGCAGCTGCTCCTGTCGCTGAACCAGTGGCGGCGAAGTAGGATTATGTTTCTCAGTGTCTTGAATATGTCTCTCTTTTATGTCAGAGTTGTATGTTGATGTATCAAGGTGAAATTTTTTGGTATTTCCATCGGTTTTATATCTCTTCAGGAGATGCTTGTCGTATGCGGCGGTCCTCATTTTGCTCTCTCCTCTTTCCCTTTACCTTTTCTGGTTTCTGGTCGATCATCATAGAATAGATGCGCGACTTTGGTTCACTGACGACTTTATGTTTGAACTACTATTTATATACTAGTGCCCTGTAAGCTCTACATGTACTGGTACCGTCTCTCTTTGGACTTAAATTAGGAAATCGTCGGGATCGGTGCGGAAAGAATTGTGGTAGACAATTTACCATTCAGAATGCTACAATATTGTTACGACCACGATCATTGCCATCACCTACGATCTCACGATTCCCCTGGTTTCCATGGTTCCGCCATTTTTTTATTTGACATCTGAGGTAAAAAGTGACGGTACAAATGATGTCTTTGTAAAGCGCCGCTATGACCGGGTATACACTCATGTGGGTTTTCTTTTGCTATGTATCGAATGCGGTTCTCTTTCGCACATTCCGGTGATGACTTGCCGTCATTTCGATCATGGTCTGGTCTATCTGCCACTGAGTTCAAAGTCAACCCGTTCCATCACTCGCCGTGTGTCTTTGGACCCCGGTCGTTGTTACACTGTACTCGTTTCCAATCGTTCTATTTGTTGAATGAAGTTCTAATGATGACTGGCATTGTATTCCTCTTTTGAAAAAGTATACGTGAATGATTAACTGAAAGAGTAGCTGGTCGTGTACGTGTGACCTGTACCGAATTCTGAGGTTCGGAACTTCGGCAAAGACGTTCAGACTCTGACAATTGTTCGGAAAGGCTGCAGCGTGAAGTCAAGGTTTTCGTATAGCGTTCAACAGAGCAATAGGCCGCTACAGACATATGAAGGAAGGCCAAGGCTTAGGCCTATTCCGTCAAGCCGTTCTATTTTAAGCCGATTGTGCAGACGTAGGTGCGCCGTGGTGAAACGCTAATGGTACTCATTTGTTTGTTCATTTGTTTATTACATGCTCCACTGGTGGGAAACAACTAAAATAAAATAGTAGCGTTGTGAAAAACAGAGCAAAACAACTTTTAGCAATCGGAAACAAATGAGAGGAACATGAGAACAAATTAATATAAACAAAAAGTAGTGATTGAAATGTAGTTGTGAAGGGGACCTCGGGTCTTTTCCAACATTGAGCGACAGAGCGCAGAAAATAGTGTTGAGCCGACTTTGAGGCGATCACATTGGTGCTTAGGAAGATTTCTGAGCTAAAAATTATAGTTTTTCTACCTGAGCCTCAGGAGAAACGAACACTGGGTGGATGTATCAAATGAATGTTATATTTTTGCCCTAACTCAGCTTTTTGTATGAGATGACCATCTTACCCACCCCTGAGCTCCTTCCCTCTTGAGGCTACATTAGGTAAAACTATACTCCTTTGGCTAGGAACCGTTTTTAGGTGATTACCTCTCCTCTGCGTTCTAGCGATCAGTGTTGGATAGGAACCGCGCCCTCTCCCCTACTTCATTTCCACCCAGGTAATAAGACCAGATTTTTTTCGAATTTGAATGAAGTAGGTTATGGAACATTGGCTTAGACAGCTTTAGACATAGCTTCAGATATCCTAATACACTTCATGCTCGCCTCATAATAAAAAGTTTCGAAAAGTAAATAACATTTGACCTGACAGTAGCCGCTGATTTCCACATTCGGACTGGAACAGAATGGATGAAAAAAAAAGTCAAAAGTGAGAAGGGTCCTTTAAATCTGTCGATAGAGGCGCACATCATTCAAAACAAGAAAATATGTACTTTGTGGAAAACAAAAACAACAAACGAAAACCTTAAATCGTAATAAAATAATAAGGTTCTCAAAAAGAAATGCGTCATGTTGCTGAGAACTTCGCCCAATGTTCTCTATTCCGTTTCCGTTCATCCTAGCGCAGTTCCGATTGTCATTTGGCATACCGTACTCGCCCTATATAACAGCATTCCTGGCGTTGTTCAGGTACACATGTACCCAAGTCGACCTTCCCTACGACAACAATTAGTGGCACTGTCGCATACGCGGGTACAGACACAACTCGAGCGTATATCGTTGACCATCGGTCACTGATGGATCTCGATAGATCTCTATATCCATCTTTGGGCTCCAACAGGCAACAAATGTGTAAGTTGTGAGACAGCAGGCTATCAAATCCTTTATTACCAGTAATACTAATAGGAACAAGAAGAAAAAGACAAGAAAAATGAGAGGAAGTAGCTAAGAACCGAGGACATCAGCAACAGGACAACAATATAGAAAAAAAAAATTCTAGAAGAAGGTTTTAAAACAAGATGGTAAATGTTAAATGGGGAAAGGAAAGTCCAAAGTGATAAGAGCTCATTAAAAGGGCTCTCAAAAGACGACTTCTACTCGAAATAGCATGGGCTATCCAAGGTACATAGGGCCTAATCGAGGTAAAGGGCCATTTGATACTCTAATCCATTCATTTGTCCTCTTAGCCCGACAGCCGGGAATAAAAAAAGTAATTGATTCCGTGCAATTAGATAGTTTTATATAGCTTTTTATCCTGTAAAAAACAAATGAATGCCGAGTGTCCGTAAGTTATCCAAAATGGTAATTGCTAGTGATAATTTGCAGTTATGGGCAGTAGAAAGAAAGCTCACAGTATCCCTTGTAACGACCACTAGTAAAGGCAATTTTAATTTGAGTTCTTTCAAAATTTTATCACCCCAGATGCTGTTTTCTTATTATTGCCAGTGCTGTGACTACTGTTATTAGCAACCTAACACATAGTTTTCCATTGTTCTAACGCTTGTCCATGAAAAATATAAATACGTCGGTGCACGTGTGGTTCTCGATATTCTCACGCACCGGGTTTATCGACGTCCAAATGTGACCCATAATTATCGCCATCCAATCGTAGACATTGTAGAAAACGACGAGACACAGTACTTTGCTGACCCCACGGTTACTGTAAGCCACTCGAACAACAATGCACCCTACCGAGTGCGACCACGCCCCATAAAAGATAGAGAGGCGTTCTAGGCTCATTCGACGCCTTTGGACATCTCCATATATCCGCCTATAGCTGCAGATCGTCGTCATCTTCCCCAAGGTATTCACTTTTATCATTTAATATCAAAAAATTGTAAAGCTTTTTGACTTGGGCAGTTGGTAAGGTGGGCAATAGAAAGTTTCAGAGAAACCCAAGCAGAGTATCAACTTTGTAAAAGCTTTCAACGACTACTGGTCGATTACTGGGATACGCCGCGCTTGCGTAGTTTCCCTAGGATAAGAGTAGTCTTCTTGCCTCTTTTGAATCGACATTTTTGAATTCTTGTTCCTACAACAAGCTGGACGTCGTTTTGTTTCACTTTCACAATCACCCTTATTCATAATCTGATTTCTGGGGTCCTACTCCGAATTCTAGTCAACGTATGTGTTCTTACAGTACCACAAGGTTTTCGGCGGTGGCAGTAAAAATCGACCTAGGTGCATGTATACCTCGATAGTGTCAATATGAAGGCAGCTAGGGAGAGTAACGCCTGCCATTAACAATCTACCCCATCTGCTTACTCTTCTACCTCGATGGAAGTTAACAAAGTCTAGATCATGAGAGATGAAATACTTATTATGCAGCAATTGTCTAGAACAGATCAAAGTCGACCTATTGAGCTACCCAGCTGACGTCCAAGGAGTTCGGCGGTGGCAGTAAAAATCGACCTAGGTGCATGTATACCTCGATAGTGTCAATATGAAGGCAGCTAGGGAGAGTAACGCCTGCCATTAACAATCTACCCCATCTGCTTACTCTTCTACCTCGATGGAAGTTAACAAAGTCTAGATCATGAGAGATGAAATACTTATTATGCAGCAATTGTCTAGAACAGATCAAAGTCGACCTATTGAGCTACCCAGCTGACGTCCAAGGAGCCTCCGGCGGGATTGCGAAGAATTTGTGATTTTAAACTTTACTCTGGATGCATTCTCATTGATAACATCACACATTGGATTAGACTCGAACGTTGCTCTTATTGGATATCTTTCTGCTTAATCCAATCCCGCCT